GTTCAATAGTATCTTTATTAACGACGACGACAACGGACGAAGTAGATAATAATAATATTATACCTTCAAATAGTCCACCTTCTAAACCCACATTACCCCCAGAAGAAGAAAAAAAACTTATGCCCGATTCATCAAAAATAATTTTAAAATCTAAAAAACCATTTTCTGCATTAACTGCATTGATTGCAGAAAAAAAGAATAAATTGGACAATCCATTTGCGGAAGAATATAGTTTCTTTGCTGGAAAAGGAGATCTTAATCCAATAACACGAAAAATTTATCTTCCATTTAGTGCTGAACCCACAAAACCTATGAGTGTGATTGTAAAAAGAGATGCTAGTGTGGAAGAAATTATTGGTTATACCTTATATCAATATTGGGATGAGAAAAGAGAACCTATACTTGATCAAACATTATGTGATGTGGTTCGATGGAATATGAGAATTGTTGAAGATGATGGTGTTATTGATGAAGATTTTCCTGGTATGAATTTTTTATAAAAAATGGTTATTAAAAAATGGTTATAAAAAATATTTATATAAATATTCATATAAATAAATTTTTTATTAATTTATTTTATTTAATTTTCATTAATTTATTCTTTATTTTAAAATATTTAAGCTCTGGAAAGAAGACAGAAAATATCCAAATTTTCCTTTGATCAATTTGCATTGTGTAAAGCAACCCCTGCACAGGGTATGAGAACCTTATATATTATTGGTTTCTGTGAAATCAATAATTATAATATTAATTTCAACTTTTTTTTTTTTTTATAATGTTAATTTTTTCAACATTTTTTTTTTTATAATGTTAATTTATTCATAGTTAAACAAAACGAAGCTGTTTCCTCCAAGACGAGACCTCCACCTAAGGAAACTTTGGCTGCACCTCCATCAATAAATACTAATGGGACAACCATTAATTCAATATCTGCTTCTAGTAATACAGTTAATGGTGGCAATAGTACTTCCGGAGTAGTATCTACTATTGATCTTACTAATCAAATATTTTTACGAATTCGACTTACTCTTACTCCTTATGAAGAGGTCGCACATACCACAACAATAAATGTTTCAGGAGAAATGCCTTTTCGGGAGGTTTTGGGAATAATTTGTCGTAAACGCAAATTGGAAAGTAATAAGTATACTCTTAAAATTGCTGATACTGATAAATATATAGATTTGGAAAAAACTGTAGAAAGTGAAGGAAATGCAAATGAGTTGGCTTTAGTGGAGAAACCCATTAATGGTACTACAAGTGCTGATGTACCACCACAAAGTCCAACAAGTAAAGAATAATTGATTTTTGACTATTGTTCTCTTTTTTTTAATCTTTTTATTTTAAATAATAATAATTGCTAATTTTTTATATTTTTTAAAAATTACATTTGATTTACGTTATTTAGCCAATAAAGAAC